AATTCTCAATCGTCGATCAATTAAAAAATCAATGCCACCGCCGCAAAACTCAATCAACGATCAATTCCAAAATCAATGCAACCGCACCAGTGCAAACGATCACCGCAAGCCAAACCACACCAGAAAGAGAAGCACGAAGACCGATCGAAACTCCAACCCAGACGGCGGAAATCACCGCCTCAGAGGAGAGAGAACAGAGAAAAGTCAAACTAGGTCAACACTACCTCCCTTAAAAAAGCAAAAATTTTTTCATTCTCTTTCCACGAATGAAATTGAAATTGTTATCAAAGAGGTCCTAACTTTTATAGCTCTTTCAACTACCAAGTTTGTGTATGATCCTTCATTTATGAGATACTTTTAAATTTCAGGAATTCGATAGAACCAAGGGAGAACATTGAAAACTTTTTAAAGTTAAAAAAATATATTGGACACAAAGTTGGAAAGTTTAGAAATTTATTATACACCTTTGAAATATTAGGAACTTATTAGACATGATATTGAATGTCTATGAATCCATTAGACATTTTTATGGTGAACAAGATAAGCAAAGATTTGAACACTTTCAAGTAATTTTTGAAACTCAAACAGTCATGTAAAGATGATGATCAATAATAGGCACGCGGAAGTAACAAAGCACAAGGGATGAAAAGTTGAGTTTTGGATTTTTTAACAATGACAGTAAAGGCAAGAAATAAAAATAAAGAGATATATCTTATCTAGAGCTAAGGTGTTGAACCAAATGATACGCAACAACCCAAGCGTATGGATTAAACAAGCTTCTAGGCACTTGAATCTGATGCTATAAATGGTTCAATTTGAAAGGTAAAAGTTGGAAGGATTATCTTTGCAATCAAATACCGCAAGTAGACAGATTACTCACTATACTCAGGGCCGAAACATTCAACAAGTTTGGTGACCAAGCAAGTTTGAATGTTTCTCAGCAATGCATCCTAAGTTCAATCACACAAAAAAATACATCGAGGGTAGGGATTGCACGAAGGCAATAGGAGAAAACTCACTCAAATTCTATTCATTAAAAGTTAACTGTCTTCAAAAGACTACAAGGTAGCCTAATTGCAGGCTAAGGCCATCGGCCAATACTAGGAAACTTTGCAAAATAAAATAACCTAAAATCGAAGGAAAATAAAAAAGCAAAAGACTCTTCCCAAACTTTAAAATAAGACTTGCCTAAAAAGATAAAAGAAAATATTTCTCTTTAGCAAAATAGAAGACAAAATCCAAAATGAATAATTTAAAAACATTTTACAAAAAAATCTTGAAACAAATAAGGAAACGTTCCTTAAATGTCAAGAGTTGGCGGCCAGTAATAGGCGGTGACTAGGGTTGGCGTGCATGCAAAGGCTGATGAGGTGTGTGCGTGGGCATTGAGAGGGCGTGCATGGTGTTGAGGGGGTGTGCATGGCGTTGAGGGGGTGTGGTGCTAGCGCTTGGCGTGAAGACATGATAGGGCACAAGTAGGTGTGGGCGTGGGCGCATAGGTAAGGCA